TCCTCTGAGATATGTGTGTAATGGTTTTCCCGATTGAATCGCAGCGTATAATACACGTTTAGGACCGATTATTCCAACGCTAGATAAATTTTAACTGAGGAATAACATTTGAATATTTGACAATACTTCCATATTAAAAACTGTCACATGCCAATTTTATTCCTCAGTTAAGAATCAACTGATAATTGAAAAATCTGCCCTCAAAAATAAAGAAACGATAAATATAGTCAAATGTTAATTAGTCTAGCATCTATTACGCAAAATCGAGAACGCTTCTCTCTATACACAATTACACATATCAACCAAGACTACAATATTACGACGCTCGCCTCGTGAACGTGTATCTACAGTACATACATACATATATAACTATGTATATGTATGCATTGTCCGGTACAGTCGGGGTTAATTGGCGAGCGCTCTGTCATCCATACCGTTCCCACTCAAATGGAAATCAAAACTACAACGAATACAAAAACTGGATTGAAAAAGAAAGAACAGCTTTACGCCTGTCACGTTTCGGTTTTAGGTTTTTTGTTAGCTAGGGTTGTGGTTTTGTGAAATTAATTGCAACAGTATAATTATGTGTTGCTAGATTCATTTACTGATGCATAGAATTGCAGCATTAATTTCATCTACTATTTCTTGGTCATTTGAAGTCTTTTCTTCTCTGGTATGGCTTTGCCAATTGATAAATATCATAGTGTTAACTTTAGTCGCAGTCATCGTAGAGTGGTCGCAAGTGCGACTCCCGGGCAAGGGGTCTCGGGTTCGATTCCCGGGTCGATCAAAGTATTACCTACTAGGTTTTTTAAAAAATTCAGTACTAGCCCGTGCTATTAGAGTGCTTGTCTACTAGCACTCTAGTAGCATGGAGTCTACTCCATAGTCTGGAGCTGTGCCCGGTATATGGCAATAGGCTCACCCCCTATTACATGGGAGTCGTAACATAAATAGTGAAAAGTGGGTGTTACATTGTACAGTGGCATTAAGTGCTGTAATGTGCACCTCTGCCAACCCCTTCGGGGATAAAAGGCATGATGTTATGTACATACATAACATTGAGAAGTAAGACATAAGGTTAACATACATACATATGTATGTTAACCTTATGTCTTACTTCTCAATATACTTAGCCCGAGTCTCATGACACGATACAACATTTCACTCACATAACCTAAAGCAATAAGCACTTTACATTTCAACTGTCACTATTCAGCAATTCCAACATAAAATATGCAGAGCAATGTAAACTGGTCTTTGATGTTCCAAGTTCAAAATTCCAATATCGTAATGGCAGCCACCATCACACGTCACATCGCCACTCGATCCCTATACCTCACAATTTGTTATTGCCAAAACGTATAACAAATCACCTGGAAATATAATCCTTGTATCTATCTACTGTCGATCAAAAATAGCTTGTCTAACGAAGTTATGTGAAATATTGTGGCTGAAACTTTATCATATTACTCCTTGTCATTGAGGCGTCAATCTAAAGAAGGTAGCTGGAACTTTAATAGAGCCTTCCCTCTCCCCCCCTTACGTCTGGTTTAAGTTCAGTGACAAGGAAGATTTTTTGTCTTAGGATTAGTCAATTGATTTAGTGATTGAAGTAGAAAAGACGGAGCCTATTTGTAATTCAATATCGAAGTGACCTTTTAGAAATAAAAGATATGTCGGAATTTTTCTTTTCCTGGAGACTGACTAAGATTACTCAAATGGGATGGGAATGTCTTTTATTTCAATGAAACTGATAATTATTATTATTGATTAACTATGAAATCACACAAAAATCAAGTTTTATCGTGGGCCAGGTTGAATTCTGTACAAATTTTTCTCTACCTTTTAATCCACAACGCAATAGAAAACACAACGCAATGCATGGATAAAGAATCTTTGGCCTTAACAATTATCAACAGGCCTACTTATACCTAATCGACTAACACTGCAAATACATTGTGAACTAAAACAATTATTAAGTAGTAAAATGTTGCAGTTTCAAACTTGGCAACTGAGATTGTGTATACAATATTACAATTTATATTTGTTTAGGAAGTTGATATTAAACCACCTTAATATATTGCACTAAGTCTTATATTTCAAAACAAATCTATTGAGCATTTGTTATATGGAAGAGATGAAAAAGGGAAAATCCTCTACAGTAGCTGTCAAAAAGACAAATAACAAGAGCTACTAATATTCAGTTAAATATGGTTAAAAGACAACTTAATATTACTATTTTTTTATTCTTAACTTGATTGTTCTAAAGAAAAAACCAGGATAAGGAATAAAAGAGGAAATTCTAACTAGCTCAAAATAAATGGCCAAGGATAACGAACAAGAGACCAAAAATTTGTTAAGTATGTTACAAATACCTATAAGGAATTTCATTATGAAGAAAAGGAAGTAACCGAAACAGACACAAAAAGCAAATAAATCATTGAGTGAATTACGAGTAATTTAATATGACTTCTTCTAGAGTAGCCATCTTTATTGATAAGAATACGAAAAGCGAATAAATAGTTTGTTTTTTGTAAACGTTGCCGCACACTAGGATTTTCTCCTGTGCCGTGGGTGCGTTTACAAACATACAAGTTCACACACATGACACCCAGACCCGAAACAACAATTTGTGGATCACACAAAGAGTTGCTCCGTGCGGGAATCGAACCAGTGACACGTTGCGCGGCAGCCGGTTGCCCATCCACCGCACTAACCGTGTTGTCAACACGAGGGATGTTATAGATATTATATTCCTTTTTCTCTTAATTTTTCTTATCCCAATATAAACGAAGAATAAAGAAAATATATTAGAAAGTAGATTAGAGGGGAAATATTTATACAACACAAGGTAAATTTACTATAATGTTTTATTTCTAAAGCAATAAACCTTAATTCTATATTAAAGTAATCGTTGGTTTCAAAATAGTTTTATGATCGTGTTATAATGCTAACTAATGTTACAAATGCGAATGGGAGTTCGTTTGCTATATTTTTATGCCTAGCACGCTGTTAGCGTAATCTAAATATTATTTTGGAACAAACAGAAATACCTCAATTTATTTTATGAATGTCGTTGTAGACCGGAGGCTTAAGACGCCCGCTTCTCCTACATGAGCGTGCGAATTCGAAACCTACCAACGGCAAGCACCAATGTGACTTTTTTCGAGTTATATGTACTTCCTAAGATTATTTAAACACCACTGACAAACGATGCACAAAAACATTGTGCGGAAACCTTGGTTTATAATTTCTAATTATAAGTTTGAAATCGCCAACCCACATTGAGCAAACATGGTGATTAATACTCAAACCTTTTCCGTGTGAGAAGAGGTCTTTGGTCAGCAGTAGCCACTTATGTGTTGGCTGTTGATGTGAAGTGTAAGAATGAAAAAAGCTAAGCTTACTTAATACCTATGTAGAAAGTAAACCTGGGGGTATAAACTACTAATACTTTAGCATATCCTAGTTATTAGGTTTTACATGGCGCAAAATGTCCTAAGCGTCAGATATTCTCTACATTGACGGCATAAGTAACCAATTATAATATGTTAAAAGATGCAAATGAGCAATGCATATCAACTGTGCAATACGTCGCTTCAGAAACAAGTAACTACTTTGCAAACTTCTACTATCTATATGAAAAATAACACGAAACATAAGGTCTCGTCTTTATAATCCGATGCCATACAATCTTACTAATATTAGAAATGAAAAAGATTGTGTGTTTGTATTTAAATCAACGTCAAAACCGCTGAAGAGATTAGAAAAAGGGGTGTACCTATATAAAATATGAAACCCACTTGTTATCATATGGGGCACATTGGGTAATGAACAATAAATATACACCGAACCAAGTACCTCGCGCTAAACAACAACACTCGCAACCACTACACCACAATCGTAATAAATTACTCAGGCATTGTTAACTAAATGAACGGTCCGGCACGAAACCCAAAAAAGGGTCCAATACATGGTCCAATATACTGAACCTTTTTTTATAAAAAAAAAAACTATTTTCCATACAAAGGTTTTTCGTGAACATTCCTATCGACACCGTATTTGTAGCCTCTATAGCGGACCCGAAACTATAGCCTATGGTAACTCGGATAGGCTATAGATTTGGGTCACTGAAGGTCAAAGGTCAACACGGATGCTTGTCCAATCAGGGAGAAAATCTTAAGCAGCTTATTCTGGCCCAGTTGTGGTAATCTTTGGGTATTACACCCGAACATTATTTTATTTAACTACATAATTATATAATTTTTGTCAACTTAAAAAAAAAACACGAGGTTCATTTAAAAATCTTACAAAAATACCACGCGGTTAATTTTCATTGTAGTTTTAAAATATGTATAAAGACTTAATACTCGGTTCTTACATCTTTTGTTTGATTTTAGTGTTTAAAGGGTCAAGTTTTCAGAAGGATTGCACTTATTTATAGTTAATTTTATTGTTCTACAGAATCAAAATGGTAATACTATAACTGAAAACATCGTTTTAAATAGTTTTAGAAAGAAACCTAACACGACGTTTTTTAATTAGTATTGTGAAACTAAAAAGTACTGTGACTGTACAGTGAATGAAAGTATAAGTTTTATTTTTTATTTTGTTTTCCATTCTACCTAAATAAAACTGTAGGTAAACGATTTAGTTCACAGTAGATTTATATTCAAAGAAACTTCATCATTTCAAAGTTAATTCTGAAACACTTCAAACCGTCAACAACACAAATATTAAAGACACATTCCGACCGAAACGAACGCAAACCACATAAACCAACGAAACCAATTAATCATTTTAAACGTTCATTGAAAACCAGTACGATTCGGAAATACAGATAAACTTCCACTGTCGATAAACTACGCGAAACCACATCCGAAAGTCTAAAAATAATCATAAAACAACCACGTCAAGAGTTTCAAAATAATTTCACAAAAAATAAAAACAAAACTGCATATACGACCTCGTTACAAAAAAAGAGGTTTGAAACATACCTGGACTCCTTTTTCTTCGGCCTCTGACATCACTTATGATTTGAATTTGGAACGTCCAGTGCACAGGAGAGTCGGGAATGCAATGAAGGAACCGCGGCTTTGAAGGGAAGCCGTATACTAACATCGACGGACAGCCCGGTTTAAAAACGCCGCGTTTATACTCTGTGGGGTATAGCTACTGATTGGATGAAAGTAATTAGTTATTTACCTCGTTAGAGAATTTGTTGTTAATGGAGAAATGAGGTTTTAAGTGTAAATAGTTGACTAAAGTGTCATTTTTATTTAGGATTGTTTATAACTATAATGTTAACCGGCTATGACTGCCTCGTTGGCCATTCGATTCCCGGGTCGAGCAAAGTATCACTGAGGTTTTTAAAAATTCTCAGTAGTAGCATGTAGTCTGGAATTGTGCCCGGTATATGGCAATAGACTTACACCATATTACATGGGACTTATAACATAAATAGTGAAAAGTTGGTGTTACATTGTACAGTAGCATTAAGTGCCGTAATGTGCACCTCTGCCTACCTTTTCGGGGGTAAAAGGCGTGATGTTTTGTTATGTTATTAACCGTCTACAAATATTCTTTGTAATTTAACATGTTTCTTGACATGAAAATTACTGCTGGCAAAAGATATACATTGATAACATAACATCAACACACTTTTATCCCCGAAGGGGTAGGCAGAGGTTTACACAGAAGTAACACCCAATTTTCACTATTTATGTTATGAGTGCCATGTAATAGGAGGTGAGCCTATTGCCATATACCGGGCACATTTCCAGACTCCGTGTTACTACTGAGATTTTTTTTTAAACCCAGTAATACTTTGCCGAACCCGAGACCCCTTGCCCGGTAGTCGTACTTGCGACCACTCGGCCAACGAGGCAGTCATATACATTGATATCTTCTTCAAATGGTGAGCTGTAAACGCTTTAATAGTATAAAGTATAATCTCCTCTGTAGCTGTAGATTTCGTAACTGTATATTTCCGCATTATAAAAATACTTTAACCGTCATCAAAACTGTCATGAAAATATTAACGTTTTTTAACCCCACTGTGCGTTTCACCCACATTGTTGTGTAGCAAACTCTAGCAGTGAGTGGAAAATTCAATATGTATACAAAATATACTATAACAACATATATAATAAACATATATGATATTTTTATACAGGTACCACATTAAATTAACTAAAAATCGTGGGTTACTCACGTGAAAATACTGAGAAAAGCTCTACTAGTTTCGAACCACAGAGGGGTTCTTCCTCATGAGCAGCGTGCGCGGTCGCAGCGATGTCGCGCAGCCTACAACTACTACTCATGTCTGTCTCATGATAGTTATTATAAAAATAAAATCAGACAATAATACAAATAATAAAAGATTATACACAGGAACACATTTTACAAGGACTGAATTAGTTCATCTAGAATTTAGGCACTAGATAAGCTATTTCCTGCAGTTTTATTCTCATGACATATGACTCAATACCTAGTATGATAGGATTTCATAAGACCTAAGGCTATAAAACCAAACCGTATTTTTCACCGAATTGTTAATGATAAACTTTAAGATGTCTGCAGTGTAGTTTAATTATCTTGCCTTCTATGACCAAGGATTTAAAGACTCATGTCATAAAGAAAAGAGTTTGATAAAGGCTTGTACAGACTATACCAACGCCACAGGTTTCACCAAAGCTTTCGAGCAAAAAACGGCAGGCATAGAAAATGTACGGAAGAAAAAATGCGCGCGGCTTGACAATGCGAGATGCGGCTAGCCTGTATAGGAGATATATTTAATATGTCAATATATTTATTATATCTACCAAGTAAAGTGTATATAAGAAGATTTTGGATTTCAAAAAACATGTATTTTGTAAGTGTAGGAGAGCCATGCTTCGGCACGAATAGGTCTAGTGATACCACGGCCTCACAGAAAACTGACATGAAGCAAGGCTTGCTTTGTGTTTCGACATGTAAGTGAGGGTACCCTCCCCCTTCCCCAATCTCTCTAATCTCTGAATCCCCCACAGTCCCCAAACTCGTAATCCCCAAAAGGCAGGTAACGCACTTGTATCCCCTCTGACGTTCCAGGTGTCCATGGGCGACGCCGATTGCTTACCATCAGGTGATACCTACGTCTGCTCGTTTACCGGCTTATCCCATAAAAAGACATATAATTAATAACTTCTCAGGTTTAAACATGGTACAATACATATACCTCTATCTCTAAACAAATATGATATTATAATATTATGTTTGTATGTTGCCTCAGCAAGTTTCAAGCAACATTATGTATGCAAACTTGAATCTTGTTCTAACAACGTTATTGAAGAAGTTTGCTCCCGTCAAAGTAAAGTACTAATTGATTTACGGTATAATTGCATCGGTTTGGGAAATCAATGGGAAGAGAGAGCAAACCGAGTTGCATAATAGAGACTACAATTTTATGAGACATACATAACATAACATAACGCCTTTTATCCCCGAAGCGGTAAGCAGAGGTGTAAATTACGGCACTTAATGGCACTGTACAATGTTACACCTACATTTTACTATTGATGTTATGAGTCCCATGTAATAGGGGGTGAACCTATAGCCATATAACGGGCAGAATTCCAAACTCCGTGCTACTACTGATATTTAAAAAAAACAGCAATATTTTGACCGACCTGGGAATCGAACCCGAGATCCCTTGTCGCACTTGCAACCGTTAGGCCAACGATGCAGTTATTTTAATAAAACTTTGATGTTCAACTACTTTCGAGCCACGACAAGGGCTCGTAATCATTAGCAGCGAGCTCGATTATAGACGCTTGCTGACTAATAAATTTTTAAGTCCATGTATAATGAATACAGTCCCTGCATGCATCAAGAGTGTTCGTATTTTGATTTGTTAAAACAAATGCTTTAACTCTGACAGATAATATTCAGATTCTTCAATTTTCTATCGCTTGTTCTAGAATATTCTTAACTAAGACTGTCCGTGGGGCCTTTGTAATGACCGGTGCAACGTGTACTCCGCGTCCAATTACTATGAATGGTGGAGCTTCAGTGTGGCGTGGGAGGATCTATTCTCGACTCGGAATATAGGCACCTGCCTTGATATATGTATGTATCTATTTAGTTAAGGAATAAAGATTGACATCTATCAATTTATTGTTTGTTGTAATGATATTGCAGTACTGAAATTAATCGTGAGAAAGAAATGCATCGTTGAGAATCTTAGGTTTAATTAATAGAATAAGAGTCAGGTTTTGTTAGATATGTGGTTTATTTAAAATAACTAGGCTCGATGTTTTTTTAATTCTTTTTTTTTTAATTTTGCCATCACTCAGTTTTGATTAATAAGTAAAATACAATTGTTGTTGAATAGTAGAAAGAAAGATTACCAAACAACTACAAATAGATACTTAAATATGATGGTACTATAAGCAAATTAGATACTTACTAGCTTTTACCTGCGGCTTCGCTCGCGTCACAAAAGGACAAGGACTAGCCTATGTGACATATACCAATACACACAGCGCCATCTATACCAATACTTTTGTTTTCCCTCGGGAATATCACATTTTTCCGGAATAAAAAGTACCCTACCTATTATAATAGTAAATAACCTATTATTTAATCTGGACTTCTAACTTTACGTCTGCAAAATTTCAAAGCAATCGGTTAAGTAGCTGCGGCGTGAAAGCGGAAAAAACAAACAAACTCACTTTCCGATTTATTATTAGTAAGGATAGTGAGGATTTACCCTCATCCATTACCACAGAACCTTAACACGAGTCCATATCAATGCCTTTCCCTCTTAAACAAACTAACTATTGGTTCCTAGTAAGTAACAACATGCTACATACATAATATATGTATGTATGTCCGTGGTACGGCTCTCAATTGTCCCGTAATTAGGTCGCTCCGTAATTACGGCACATCCTTCCCGCGCCGGGGCCACGTAAGAATGAAGGATAGGAAAATGCGAGACTAGGGGATGTCTAATATGTGTATGGTTTAATTTACGCAAGGCCGTTGATAAAACACAGTCTCTTAAAACAACGACTGTGGCACCTGGTTACTATAGACTTACACGCAGAACTTACACACATTGACACGAAGGACATTTGTCATTTTCTTAAATCTAATAACGTGGTGACCACACATATACACGGACACATAAATAACCCGCTGACATTTTGGTGCTTCGATCATTTCTAAGCGATATGATGTCGTAGTAGCGTAGTAGCACGGAGTCTGGAAATGTGCCCGGTATATGGCAATAGGCTCACCCCCTATTACATGGGACTCATAACATAAATAGTGAAAAGTGGGTGTTACTACTACTCGGGGTTAAAGGCGTGATGTTATGTTATAATGTCGGCCTTTTTTCATCGTTCTTGTATTTACGTATGTAGAATACATACATAAGTAGGTATACCTCTATATGTATGTATGTATGTGTAGGGATCCGGTCCGGAACGGTTCTCTACCTAATTAATTAATGGGTGAGGTTTCAAGTATCTGAGTATGTGTTGCCTATGTAGATAGGATATGGTATAAGTTTGTATTTTATTTGTTTTCTCTATTAGTTTTAGTGTATTTGAAGGTGTACATTTATTATATTTTTTCTTATTTCTAAAAGTAATAGTATTTGTTTTATGTAATCAACGAATGTAATTTGAATCCAAAATTAAGCTAATAAATAAATTAATTTCCTTGTCATTATTTAGTGTGCGTGAGTTTATGGAATGGTGCTAGTTACTCTATCAAATGATATGGTCAAATTACTATCCATGGATTCTGATGAAACCCCTTGCCTAGCATTTGCACTTGTGACCACTCGGCCAACGAGGCGTTTTTCTTATAATGCGTTGTAATATTACCATAATATTACAGTCTTAAGTATTTAAGTAGGTATTTGCCAACATGTTTACAATAAAGAACACAGGCCATATAAACAAAACCTTCCATTTCCTTTCCATAATCGAGAAGAATCGCGATCCTAGCGCCATCTACATTATCTAAAGGGAAACGTTGCTGTATTTCAGGGCGTTTAGTTTCAGCATGGTTTCGACGTAAACTGAAGTTTCAGTGAAGTGTTTAGTTCTACTTATAGCCGCTTGGTGACTCTGAAAACTCATTTAAGGAATCTTTAGGTTTAATTTTTATGTATTAATGATTTAAATAATTAATTACTTCATTATTTTTCATAAATTTTGTCATAGACTTTAGTATTATGAAAAGGTTTGTAAACAAATAACTTTTTAG